CGTATATCTCCCATTAGACAGCCACTGTGCGGCTTAGCAGCAGCCCAGCACAGGGAGTGCAACAGAGTTTGGCCGCGGTGTCTTCACTCCGCTCCATCCTCCGTTACTCCCCTTTGCAGCTGCGAGGAGGGCAGATTGTGTTGCCCAGGGAACCGTGGAGGAGCAGAGTCCGTGCGTACCAGCCATCCTGGAAGTGGCGACTGTTTATCACCCCAAGCAGGCCTCTGTAATGCCAAAACTTCTGTTAGGCCCTAGTTTTCCTCTCAGTTCCTGCTTTCAAACAATTCTTCCACAATATGTAGACTTGTATACTGTGAATTTCATGGTGATTGTTAACTCTGCCAGTCACTAGTGTTATATCTATATTCTTAGAGAGCCAGTTTGCCCTACTGCTCTGTCTTTTGCCTTTTTAGATTTTAAACTAAGGTTTCCTCGAGTGACTCAATTTATAAACTCTTTGTGTAGTTCTGGTGTTATATAAACATAAGGTAACAATCTTTGTCTTGGTAGTAAAAAAGCAGCTGTACTGCTGGATGCTTTTCAGAACTGGAAAAAAACAGCTTTGGTATATGCATTTAAATGTGAGATAACATTGGAAAATGTTGTATATTTCCAGACTGCCTAGAAATGTAAGTCATCCTGCAGATTAAAAAGCAAAAACAATAATCAAAATACTCCTCCCCTCAGTGCTCTTCCAGTCTAACAGTTGATTTTTTAATATGTACCAAATAGATTGACTCTTTGTAGCTGAAGCACAGTCAACTTTCCAAACATATTTCTTGAAGGTCTTTTTTTTTTCTGTTTTTTAAGGTAATGAAGACAAATCAGAGAAGCCACACTTTGATTCTTGCAGTCTTATCTTTGAATTAGACCCATGCAATGGGAATGGGAACGTTCGTCTCGTTTATAAGCACACTAAACCCGGTAAGACTGAAGAGAGTGAAGTTAGCCATCTGTTGCTGCAGGTATATCTGAGGGACAGGTACTTAGTATCATCTTACATTTTTGATCTTTATATTTGTATATGAACATTCACTTAGAAGTCATGGCTGCATGAAACTCAAGTGGCCAGACCTTGCACTGACTTAGCTGAAGCTAACATTTCATTCCCTTTGATTTCTGCATGCATAGTGTATTTACACATCAAAACAGGAAAACACTCACATATGACCTACAGACAATCATGTTGAAATAATGCAGAGCTCAGCCACTCACCTATCTCCGCTTACTTGTATGTCTCAGAATAGTAATCTCATATTTTGATAAGGAAGGGGTATATTTTGCATAGAAGCAAAGGGTGCATGGCAGAAAAAGTCCTTAGCCCACTGAGACAGTCTTAGACTGGTTCTGCCACCTCGCACATATTGCCATACCTCTGGGTGCCAAATAGGTCAGAATTTGGCAGGGAGGGTCAAGTGGGAGAGGCAAGCCAAACTTTCTTCTGATAGCTACACAGAAAGTTGTTTTCAATCAAGGACTAGTGAAACACCCCAATTACGTGTAAAGTAGCAGTCACCTGACATTCAAAGTGCACAGGTCACTCTGTACATGTGTATACGTTTACATATCCTGCATGTGGGTGTGCACATGCAACCAGCTCATAGTAAAACCCTTCCATTGTTATCTTGTGCTGTGATTGGGTGTGTCTAAAATTCCCAGTCAGAAACTTCTGACTTGTTGTCTTGCCTTTCAATGATAAGGATGACCTGAGCAAGGGAAGGGAACCTTGTTTATGGGTGTTGATGTTAGCATAGGAGGCATTGTGCTTAACTGGCAATGTTCTGAGTCCCAGTTTATCAGGTAAAAAGTCACTTATTTTTATCCTTGCTAATCTGTCTGTGATTTGTTTCAAGGAAGTTGCCCCTCAGAGAAATATTTAATCACTGTGGAAAGTCTCTGCAAAACGTGGGTTTTTTTGGCAGCACACACTCCCGTGGCTTCCAGACTCTGGACTCTACTCAGTAATACAGATGACTGACTACTGAATTAGTTATTGTTTTTATTTTGTGGGACAGATAAATGTTTGCAATAATTGTACTTTGAATTTGAGTTACAAAATTACTGTTGTCCAAAGATGCTCCACCTGGAGTGTCAGCCTCAGGTTGGGAAGGAATCACATCCATTTTACAGTGGAGGAACTGAGTATAATGGCTACTACGTGAGTGTTCAGTAAGGCTGAGAGCAGTACCAAGACCCCTTCAGCCCACATGCTCCAACCATTAAACCATGCTGCCTCTGGATAGTTGTATTTGTTAATCGGGGATGCTGTCTTTTAGAAGGTCCAGCCTTTCAGGTAAGAATGTTGCGTCTCCCAGCTGACACTGCATCACAGGCAAGGGAGGGAGTTTTTAGGTATTATTAACTCGGGATTTATTACAAACAGATTTATTGAAGATGGTATAGTCGTAGTGAGTGAATCTTACTGCCCATTTCTTATTGCCCGAGCCTCAGTTCCCTGCTGCTTCAATGGTTTCTTGTCAGAGGTTCTCTTAACTCCCAGAGAATGGCCCTGAGAGGTGTCCCAAAGATATTCACCACTGTGCAGCCGGCTGGCATGCAGGAGAGCTCAGGGGGCTCTGGGCTGTAGCACTGTTTATGAGCACAGAGTTTGACTGATGGTGATAGAATATTTGGAATGGAGATGTACCTTTGTTTGCTGACCTCATGCCATGTTGGGGAAAAGATACCCCTTTTTGCTGATCTCATGCCCGTTTCTCACCTCACCAGTTGCAAGCAGTATCGCCTAGTTCCTTGTGGTCAGCACTGGGCACTGTCAGTTATGTGTGATCAGCTGGGGCCTGAGATATGTGTGGGAGTAATTGTACTCCACCACACACTGCCCAGGAGTTGATGTCTATCACTGCAGAGCAGCAACATAATTTTGGTTTCCTTTTTAAGTTGTCTCCCCAGACGCAGAGATATGGTTCTTGGACAGAGCTCTATATTGGCATTTCCTCACCAAAACCTTCACGGCCTACTACCGCCTGCTCATCACCTACCTGGGGCTTCCACAGTGGCAATATGCCTTCACCAGCTATGGGGTCAGCCCCCAGGCCAAGGTAAGACAGAAGGATCAAGCTTGTCAGTATTTCAAGTCAATCTGGACCAGAAAACACTTTTCTACCTTTTGACAAGCAATCTGCAGGGCTCAGGTAGGTCCTTCTAGCGAGCCCATGAGCCTTTCCCCTCTAGCATATTGCTGTCATTTATTTACATGACCCAAGTCACTACTGTTGTGTTAACTCTGCTTTTTTCACCTGAATTGTGTTCTGCCTTTGACCTCTGATAGCAGATAGTAGATCCTCAACTATTTCTGTCTTTCTTGGCTCTGAAGCCAACCTCTGCTTCCATAACTGCCATCAAGTGAAGAGATAGAAGGCTATTCATTATCACAGCTATGTAAGATTAGTCTAGATCAGCTCTCTGGACATTGCACAGAACAAGAGCTCTCTAGGTGGAAAGGGAGGTCCAAATACATGCAGGACAGAAGCCCAGAGGAGGACTGAGCTTCAGCCTTATAAGGGATGTTAATCCCTTTCCATCCCTCTCAGTCATAACAAGGTGCCCTGAGGATATAGTGCCCAAAAGAGCAGTTTAAATCCCAGCAGTTCCAGAAGCATTTTTGGGAGAGCACAACTTCCACGCTGTTCCCTGCTCCAGGTACAGCCTGCAGACCAGTCCAGCACCTTATTATTATTAAAATTTGCTATTTATTTTACTCTGTTTGAACCCTGCTATTAGAGACTCCTGCCATTCCTCTGTGCTTGTCTGGGCTTTCAGCCCCAACCCAGCTTCCAGCTTGTGGAATGGCAGAGTATGGGCTGTTAATACAGCTCATCACAGCACACAAGCCTGTGCAATGTCTGCACATGCTGATGGGTCTTGATCAGTGTCCTGCCCTTACCTCAGGTAGGAGAGCTGTATTGTCAGCATGATACTCCTTGATCCCTGCCTCAACCCTGTGCATGCATCAAAATTACTCACTAAAATCACTGCCTGCTTCCTATCTACCAGTGCCTGCAGAATTTGGCTCTTTATTTCTGGGTTCTTCCCTGATGTGCTGTGGTCTGCCTTATCAGTCAAGGCTGTGTGCATGTTACTCTAGCTTATCCCTGTGCTCTGCCTTTCTGTAGCTTTTCTGCTAGAGCATTTTGGTGTGTTCAGTATATTCACAAACCTTAGTGAAATCACTCATATATTTCCTAGCCATTTCACAGTCTCTGTTAAATTATATCCTCCTAATATGTTAACCATTATCATTTTTAAAGGTCTTTAAGGATGATATATTAAAGCTCTTTTCCATTATGTAGTACATTAAGTGATTGCCCTGTACAATTTTCATATTGATCTTCCATTTATCTTGTTCAGCATTTAACTGACAGTGAATTTCGGTGAGGTTTGTAATATCTTATTCCCTAGTTTCATTTCCTGACATCATGCAATGGACAACTGATAGGAAGAGTACTAAGAGATGGAAAATGCAGGGCATAACATTATGGGGGCATCTGTGAACCAAAAAAAAAAAAAAAAGTATTGTGATCACTTCTAGACATAAAAAGGCAGAAGTGAAACAAAATATATCCTTTTTGTAAAGAGTTAATAAAATCTGTAGCGTATATGTGAAAAGACGGGCTGTATTTTAAGTGGCACAACTAGTTTGGTTCTGTTTCATAAGCAGTCTTAAATTCTTTCTGCTTCTCTAAATCAAAATAAATGTGATTTAGTTTCATTCCCTCCCCTTGCTTTTTCTCCTGTTGGTTCAAGTCAGGAGCTGCTCCTGATAGGAGTTACACGGCGAGAAAGGTAGTTTTAGGTTTGTATTTGGGTCTCCACTTCCCTCTCTGGAATGTGGGGCTCTAGCTACAGCTGGGACCATCCTTACCACAGGATACTTTTCAGTAGTTGACTGGATTATGCAAACTGATATGTGTTCCTGCTCGTGTATGATTAAAACCATGTCTTGGGGATGAGGGGAGAGCAGGGAGGGAATGTCTAACGACAGTTTCATTTTTAACATCTTCCTTCCCCAATATTCCTGCTTTTCAGCAATGGTTTAACATGTATAAACCCATAACCGTCAACACAGCTCTCCTTTCTGAAGAAGCTGACGCCTTTGTGAACAAGCTGGACCCCAACAAATTGTTTAAAAGCAAGAACAAAACTCCAGTGATGAAAAAGAAACTGTCCTCCCAGCCGACAGGCTCCTAAAAGAGCCATCCTGGCATGACATCCTCCAAGACTTCCTCACAACCTGGGAATCCTTCAAGGAAGCGAGACCCACAGATCTGACCCTGGATGTCATTTGCAATAAGCTATGATGAGAATTTCAGATGAAGCCCCTTGTTGGGCATGAATAGATCTTCCCATGGAAACTACACGGCAGCATTTGCATGAAATATAACCACAATGTACTTTGACATGGGAGGTAGATCCTGGTGGCTTTGAGACATTGATTTAATTCACTTCTGCTACTTGCAAAATGTGCTTTTCAGAAGACATGAAGAAGTCCTTGATGTCACTGCTCTATAGGAAGGCTTAGTACTGTGTGACTAGAGCAGTGAAATGAAAGTAAATGTGAGTCACTATTACTTTAATAGACACTTGCTGAAATACAGAATATGAGGATATTTCTGCTGTCCCCTTTGAAAGAAACCTGCCCTGACCTTGCATGTTATGGGAGCAGGCTGGAAAATCTTCCAACTCTGAGATTCACGGTATAGAGGGACCTGGAGTTTCCCTGTCCCTGAATTAGCCTAGCCACTTGCTCTACAGCCAAGATCATTCCTTGGCCTTCATGCCATATCCTTTGGGACAGTGAGCTCTGTGTGATGTCCTCTATAATGAGTCTGGAGGCAACAAAAAGATGCAAGAGCCCTAATTGCCTCTGCTTTCTCCTCTCATGGGACCTGGCTGAGGACAACTAAGCCGGAGCAGCTCCAGGTGCATCAATGTGTTAGAATGTTGTAAACCAGGAGGATGCCTTGATTTGTCACATATTCATTTGCAAAGCTGAGCTTTCAAAAAGCCTTTGTCACTTATTAACTGGGCAGAATCTGACCAGGGGCCATTGAGATCCTACAGCCCTAGAAGGCCCTGATGCTACTTTCTATACTGTAAGTTTTCAGGTAAAACTGCACTTTAACACATTCATTTCTGGTTTTCAATAACATCTGACTGTTTCCATTAATTTTCTATGCCATTCAGTCTTCTTAGGTATGCTGGAAACACATCATAGAGCTAACCCGTACTGTGCCTATGTAGGGAATGCAAAGTCACTATCTCCAAGTAAGCACTGATTATTTAAACAGCAGCATATTTTATTTATGAAGCAGTTGCAGAATTGCATAAGGTCAACCTACCTCACAGGGATGTTGTGAGGCTTTCACGAGCATTTATGACCTTCGGAAAGACCAAGTTGCCCTGTAAGTGCTTAACAGTATTTTAATAAAGATATGAATATTTTCCTCCAGAGTGACTGGATATTTGAAGATGCCTTTGGGAGCACATGCACAAGAACATACAGCAACAGCAGTATGGAGGCCAAACTTTTTTATTGCAGTAGAGGATCTCTGAACAAAAAGGAATGGGTTACAGTGTCTTTTGATCCCACCTTGAGCTACTCCAAAGTTCACAGTTTACCCAGGAACTATGTGAAACTTGTGCCCAGTTTCATACAGGCGCAAGTCTCATCTGCATGACAGCACCTCCACTTCTGTCCAACACTCACCTTTCAAAACCTATGCAACCATCAACCCCAACTTTGTGACACTTTGCTGGCTTCTGGCACTGCCCACAACACTCCTTCAAACATGACTGCACAAAGAGCCCTTGAGGGATGGCCTGGCAGCTGCCCTCTCACATCCCCTACGCTAAAGAAAATCCTCTAATGCTCTTTAGCCCTCTTAAGCTGATATGCATCTTTTACCAGGTGAAGGTCCTGCTGTAACTGCTATAATAACAGAACTATAATAACAGAAGATCTAATGAGGAAGCAGGGCTGTTAATATCTACCACCCCACCTCATGCCACAGTGGTGCAGTGATAGTCCCTTTAATAGTTCAATGCAAATAATCAATTGTCAAAGCCATTAAACACCAGTTCCTGGGATTCTGTGCAGTAGGGATGCTCTATCATATCCTACCCTTGGAGAGCCCTGCATTGTGTGCATTTGCTGCACCCAACCCTGGAGCCACAGTCATTTGCTTGTTACATGTACCAGGTGTATCACCTGGCCTGTGAACTTTATTTCTTTTTTTTTTTTTTTTTGGAAGATTTTGTATGGTTTTACTTTAGTCCAATGCTTTCTCAAACTTGTAAGGCTGTTGCAGGCCCGTTTCTGGTACAGTCACAGTGGAGAAAGGTTCTTGCTGTCAAGGGAGTTGTCTTAATCCTTTCATGTGCTGGTAGTTAAAGTCTAACCTCTCACTAACAAGCATAGTTTCACTGTGCCAACATAGCACAAAACAATCTGTTCCAGGAGAGTTTTACAAAGAATTGTAAGACCCTGTCGTTTACCAAATTTTTCAGTGTTTGCTGAATGTTCAGACAAAAAAAAAAAAAAAAGTTTTAGACTGTCAGTTCCCTTGCTTTTCTTTGTGCCCTGACAGAGTAGATGTTAGTGTGTCAAATTAGCAAATGGAAGCAAATCTAAATGTGTGGTTCATTAGTATAGTATCTATATCTTACCAAAGAATATTCCAGATCAACTTTTTTTTTTTTAACATGTTCCTGTCAGTGTGAAGGTGTTGCCTGTGTTTTCAGTGGCACGATCCCCTGATTAATACTTATTTCATGTCTAACTATGGATCTTGTATTTTGGTTGCTATAGTCTGAAGTCTTGCAGCTCTGCTTTGCTTTTCTCTGGAGTGTGATTTTTCTTTCTTCTCCCCCTCCTTTTTTTTTTTATACAGTGAGTTTGAAATACTTCTTTGGGTCATAGACTAGCCTTATCCAGGCTTCCCAGTGTATCAGAGACCCAGTTTGTCTGGTTGAGCAGAATTTCTTTATTAAAAATGTGTCTCCCATTTCTCCATGTGCTGGAAACAATACCGGCATGCGTTGGTAGTATCATTGCACGTGCTGGTGTCCATTCAGTTACCTTTTGACTGCCAGTGCACATGGTCCAACTAAGATTTCCTTCCAGGTCCTTTCCTCAGGGCACATGACTGCCACATCCTAGAAACTTCCATGCCTGGCTGTCTTTTCTCATTTTCACTTTCCAGGACAGGCTGATTGTGAAGATCAATAAAGAGTTTGTGGATTAAAACACCAAAAAGACATCCCAGGAGTGGAGCTACGAGTGGGATCCACCACCAGCCCTGTCCAACCCTAAAAAGAAACACAGAACAGGCTTCTGGTGAGCCAGACAAACCATTGCCGTGCTGCTGCAAGCCGGGTTATTTTTCCTTGCAGGAACTAACTATTCTGAAGAGAGTTTCATGAGGGCAATATTTTTCACTGTCAAAAAGCTGGCTACATTAGGTCAGGGACTCTAAGGGCTTCATGCAAAATCTTCTCAATCAAATAAAGTTTCTTTATGGTTTCCATGGGCTTCATATTATTTCATATGAAATCCATGGACTCTCTGCATCTTTGTGTGCAGGAGGTAGAAACCCTTCACTACTGACAGACGCAGAAAGCATAAGCAATGTGTGCAAAGTATCATGGACAGTAGGAAAATTAACCCAGAACTCCTTCCCAGAACTGTGGTTTAACCACAGTTAAACCTCCTACCATTTAATTCCTGCAAAATGTAATTCCTGGTAGGAAATTCCTTTGCAGGATGCCAGGAATTACACTTTGCAGGACACCTTCCACCTTTGTAAGGCACAGATTAATATTCACCCTTGATTCACTCTTACCACTTACACCATAGCCATACAAGCACCTAGTTGTTGAAGCACTAGGAAGATGCAGTTTGGTTTTCAATTATTTCATCTTCATCTGCTGCTTTAGAGAAAGCCAGGTGAATAACCTGGCACATTTAGCTTAAACATTCTGCATCCATCAGACTAATTGCATGAGGGACAGTTGTTCTCCCTACTGGTCTGCACTGCTAGTGGGTTTCCTGTTCTAGAAACTTGCTCTGCACTCTCTGCAGGTGTCCTGTTCTCCTTAAGAAATAGTCTGTGCAATCCCAGTGAATGTGGCTGCCAGAGACACTATTCCCCCCCTTCCCCATTTTCAATAACATTTGCATTTCCATTACCAAACTTTATAGGGAGGTCAAACTCTCAGTAATATTTTCTTCAAGTTTCATGAAAACGGGCAGCAGAGCAGGGAGACTCTACTAATGCCATCACTGTGGGAACAGCTGTGACATGAGACCCAGGCTTACTAGATACTAGGAGATAGGGTTTCATCTCCAAATTCATATGTGTAAATTTATTAGAGCCATTTAGCAATCCAGCTGTAACTACCTCCTTTCAGATCATCTGAATAACTCTCTGGCTCTCTACTCACTGCAGTAACCAGCTAGATCTCTACTCACAGGTAGACTCCTGTGGTGTAGGTCTCTAAATTTAGGTATCTGAATGTGGAGCTGAATCCCATGCCGGAGATTTGGTGTACTCCAAATTAGGTGTATGCGACACGCAGGGCTCCCCTGTGCATGACACCCTCACTTACTGAAAAGGGAGAGGCCACATTGCAGGCATAGCGTCATTTGGGAAAAAAAAAAAAAAAAAAAAAAAGCTTAATTGCTTGGGTTTATCTGCTCTTCTGTGAGCTGGTCAGTATAAAATCCAAACAGGCAAACAGGTAACTCACATGAAGACGTCCATTCCCCAGCCAGCAATGGCAGTGAAGACCCTGGGGGGCAAGTCCCTGGAGGGGTTCATGGAGTAGCCCATGTTCATCCCCATCAACAGACCAATTCCTAGGACCAGGATACCTGTGAGCAAGGCCTGTGTCCCCTTCAGGACTGCATTATTTTTCTTATCATGGATGACTGGAATGCCCAAGAACAGCATCATTGTCGCTATAATCTGCGGGAGCAGGAAAGGGAAAACAAGTCAGTAGAGAGAATGGCAAAGGCAGAAGGATTGTGCTCAACAGAGAGGATGTGGCTTCCCAGACTAGAAGAGCAGGTAGGATTCAAGCTCTGGTCAAATCAAGGACACTAATGTTATTGGACTGCTTGGAAAGATAACAGAAAGAGCAGAAACTCTTATCTCTTGACAACATTTTGTCATTTACTTTCTGATGCAGCTCTATGGAGCACGTTGCATAGGAGGCTGAGCAATCAGGGGACCATCTGGAGGTTCTTCAGCTCTCACCATGCTCCCCATCACAGCCAGGCAGAGCTTCATCAGCTCAGAAACAAAAACATGGGTTTCCTCAGACTTGAATTAAACGTGAATGTCCCTTCTCCTGTAGCAATGCCGAGTATGGGGCATGCTTGGGAATAACCCCAAGTCCTATAAGACATCCCCAAAGGAGTAAATACTCAAACCAGGTAGAAATAACATCAGGATGGAGGTTTTGCTGTATGACTGGGATTCAGCAGGGCAATATTAGAGATTACAAAGAATAGTTATATAGCTATCTCACCGGTATGCTGTGCAGGTGGTTTGCATTCACTGTCAAGTCTTCTGATAAAAAAAGCTAATGGCAAAAAAACTAAAACTAATTGTTTTTAATATCTGAGACAAGGTTTTATTCCCCTCTTATTTCTGGACATCTTGATATTGTGTTAAGTGCTGGGAATAAACTGTATTCAATGCCAAATGGGCTGGTCAAACCTCCAGAGGTTCAAACCAGACAGGCTGTGTTCCTGGAAAGTCAGTCCCAGGACACCTGTATTGGTTAGAGGCATCCAGAAGAGGTGCCTGGAGTGCAGAGCAAATATAAGATCCAGGAAGATCAGCTCAG